CTATCATGTACAAAGTTCATCAATGCCCCAGTCTTCATGACTTCCATCTGGCATGTACCGACGAATAATGATTGGTATCTTCTGTGCTTTTAATTCTTTCATAGCAATTTGCAATGGATCTGTTTCACCCTCAAGCTCTACCATGACTGGTGCTCCCATACTTATCTGTAAGGCTCTCGTACCAAGAACTCTAGCCCTTTCATATTTTGTCATGTAGGGTGTGGTAACCCGTTTTGCTGATTCTGTACCCTCTTCCCCTTCTGGTAAGATTTCAAATCCACCACCATCATCAACAGGCTATACAAAGTCATGAAATTAAGTTTGAGAGTGCAGGTAATTTTGGCAATATCTAATTTATTAAAGAGCTATTTTATCCGAAGTCCTGACCCTGCAGAGTTGCCAGGGGTTAGTTGTGGGCACCTGATGTTGACCAATAATTAAACCTGGCATCCGGTGCCGTAATCTCTTAATAACACCATAATATTCACCCTAACCCCCGCATCGAACACCCGTTCAAGCACATGAATCAGAAATGTTACTTCCCATCCAGTGTCAGTGTGGAAACTGGAAAGTTTGTATCGTGCAAACCGAGATATCTCGGGCATGCAATTTTGATGTTTTCTATATCAGCCAGTCGGGCATATTCAGGGACGCCGGAACGATAATAGGGCAAAGGGGGGCGGACGCACACCAAGGGCACCTTTACTGAAAATTTTTTTTTCACTGCTAAATTTTTTGGCGACCCCCCCCCCCGTCGCCAAAAAAATTTCGGTCAGTGTACCATTTTAGGGGTCAAAAATTTTTTCCGGACATACAAAAATTTTCCGTGAAGCCAAAATTTTTCCGGATATCTTAAATTTTCGCCATTTCTTCAAAATATTTTTCTAAATTCCAAAAATTTCCCAAAATTTTTATAAATATAAACTATAAATTACCTGAATCTCGTGATTTTCCCACAAAAAGCATCGTTGGAAATGTGATTTATCACATATTATTTTACAACTAAAAGGGCACTTCTGCCCCCCCTGCCCCCCCTAGCAAAAGGCAAGGGGGGCAGCCGCCCCCCCAGTTCCGGCGTCCCTGGGCATATTCAATATTAGTATATTATTTATGTTTATGCTGTTGCATGCATTTGTTGTATATTAATGTACATCACTGTCTGGATCAATGGGGTGGCCCGAGCGAAACATTTAATGTTTTAAAGCCACATGCATTATTGAAGTAATTAAACATGTTCTGAATCACTTCTGATGTTCAATACTTCAATTTAAAATACCTCTAAATCGTCGACATCTTCCAGTGGTTCCTCATCATCATATTGCTCAACATCATCATCAAACCTGAGTGAAATACATTTCTTGTTAGAAATACAGAAATACATGAAAATATATATTTTTCACCTTACAATTACTAACCCATCAACTCCTTCGTCGTCGGCCATCTTGCAAGGTTCATTCGGCAGGCAAGAATTCCTTGGGAAAAGCTCGGAAATTCCTCACCAACTTTTCTGATCACCCTTTAAGTCGCTCTTTGCGTCGCTTTTTTTTACTTTAAGTCTTTAAAGTCATCTACAACAGATATAAAATCGAGAAGTTTGCACTTTACAAAATATCGTATTCATATACTAAGGAGAGTATTGCACCGTTGGTTCATTTATACTGAATTTACTGGCAATACTGTAGGTTTTAATAATATATGGTAGAGAATATTCCTGTTTTTAAGGATAAATCCTTTGTTCCTGGTTACTCGGAATGTTTCGGGCTTTTGTCGGAACATAGTTAATAGTCGGAACTACGAAAGATAGCCGAAAGGCATTAAACAAGATGGCGGCAGATTTGACATACGAAGGTTGCAATTTTTATCGTCAAAGATTGGTTCTTTCTACCTTAAGTGGAAAATCAGTGAGGATAAAGAATATCAGGTCATTTGATGATGATCCTGGTCTCAAAGGTATGGTAGTTTTATAACATGCGGGCTTCTGTGCATGATGCGACTACAGTACTTGAAAAATAGTACGTCTGATTGGTCTGAACAGTGAACAAATTATTAATAGAACAAACTTGCGAATTTAACGATGCGACTCATGCGAGGGAAGGCCTATCGTAAGTGAAAGTATACGCTAGAAACGTCGACGCTTGTATTCTTCGCTAGCTACCGAAAAGTAGACAAACATTTTTGAAAATTTACCAGATTATGACCCCCCCCCCCCTGGCCCCCTCTTTGTAATTTTTGGTGTATGTAAGGGACAAAATAAAAATCGAGCAGAGGAAACAGAAAGCAAAGACTTTTCAATAAGGAAAATTATAAGTTCAAATAAAAAAATATCGTGCAAGGGATTATATTTAAAAAAATTATCGACACCAGCAAAAATTAAAAAAAAAATATTTGTACAAGTTGAAAAGTCCCCCCCCCCATCACTTTTCTAATGGTCTGCCCCTAATGTCATGTCTGTAGTATGTACAAGTCAAATCCAACCGCAATCATCCCCCCCCGGGCAACCCCCAGGGAATTTGACTTTTGTTGATCTTGAATTTTGCTTAATTAATGCACCTTAAAAACCATCAATCAAAAGGCTGAACTGTGCCTTTAAGTGCAGTGCTTTTTATTACATGATAAAATTGTGGTAAAATATGTGCATGTTCCATGATATAGATATGTGGCATACATAGATGATTCAGTTTAGTCCATCAGCATATATTATTGATAAAAGACAATGTTGGTAGATACAAAATTTCCATGTGTTATGTGATCACACTGTAGATTTTGAGGCTGGTTTTATAAGACTACTTGACAAGTTAACCAATGGTTCAAAGATTGAAGTTAATGAAACAGGTGCGTATGAAGAGGATAATATTAATCTGTTAGTATTAATTACTTAGATTTCATTATTTTACGCAGGTTCTGATATATTGTGAACAAAATTACAGTCAAACCTGTCCTTGTGAGAACTTCTCTCATGCACTATTGAGAACTGCATGTCTATATTATGCAAATGTTCTTGTGACTTGACAAAATTCCCACATGTAGACTACAATTTTCTTCCCAGATGGCAAATATACTAATATATAGAACAGTTTTATTATCCATCCTGAGAATAAGGATTTAAGCACATATTGAAACTTGAAAGAGGTTCTACACTTTGATGAGAAAGGAGCAACAGAGGAAAACTGATGGTCACCATTTTATTCTGGGTTTTAAAAACACAAGATTAATCGGAAAATCCGTAATCCAAAGTTTATTTAAATTAAGGCCTTTAAAGTCGAAGGAGGAAAAATGGGGTACAGTATATACTTGATTAGGTGATGGGAAACCTTTGTGTTGTCCCTTCATCCCCTGCTTGCTAGCTCTTCCCACCTTCCCTTCATGAAAAAAAACCACATTGAAGGTACTGATAGTAAGTTCTGTTCCCCATCTAATGTAACATCTCATTTTTGTGCCCAGTCCTAATTGAGGTGAAAATTACTTCTCTCATTTTTGAACATTTGTCTATTAACATTTCGAACATTCATTCGATTGGTCTTGATATGGGATTTCTTCCCTATTGATCATACTTTCAACTTACAGTATATTGTATGTCTTCATTTAAAGTTAATTGTTGTATATTTGTTTAGTTAAAATGTTTTAAAATTAATAAATAAATTAGATTTGTTTTATTTGGAGTCACTGTGTTGTTTTAAGACCAACACCAAATGTTAACATGTTAATGTAATGAAACTAATTTAAAGGCAGCATAATTGTTTCAGGTACATCAATATTTTATAAACCTGGCTTGCTTATTGGTGGGACAGTGGATCATGATTGCAGTCTTCAAAGATCTGTTGGTTATTTTCTTGAAAGTATTGTTTGTCTAGCTCCGTTTTGTAAACGACCTCTTAAACTGACGTTAAGAGGTGTAACGAATGATGATGAAGACCCGTCTGTAAGTATTACTACTCTGGGGGTTTAATCCAGTCTATAAATTACACACTTGTAAACACTTGTACAGGTATGTCTCATTGGAGATTCACAAATTATAGATTTCAACAACCAAAACATATTGCTAATATAATACCAGTTTTTGTACTATATATATTGTTAGCTCACCAAAAATCATATTTTCTATAGTTTAAAGCCTCATGGATAAAACGAAAATGAGAGCACATGAGAGTTGGCAGTCACGCGACCTTTGTAGCCAACTTAGCTGTTCTTAATGCTTTCCCAACACTATCATGCATGCCCAACACAGCAACACTATCATGTATGCCCAACACAGCAACACTATCATGCATGCCCAACACAGCAACACTATCATGTATGCCCAACACAGCAACACTATCATGTATGCCCAACACAGCAACACTATCATGTATGCCCAACACAGCAACACTATCATGTATGCCCAACACAGCAACACTATCATGTATGCCCAACACAGCAACACTTTCATGTATGCCCAACACAGCAACACTATCATGTATGCCCAACACAGCAACACTATCATGTATGCCCAACACAGCAACACTATCATGTATGCCCAACACAGCAACACTATCATGTATGCCCAACACAGCAACACTATCATGTATGCCCAACACAGCAACACTATCATGTATCAGCAACACTATCATGTATGCCCAACACAGCAACACTATCATGTATGCCCAACACAGCAACACTATCATGTATGCCCAACACAGCAACACTATCATGTAGTATGCCCAACACAGCAACACTATCATGTACAGTATGCCCAACACAGCAACACTATCATGTACAGTATGCCCAACACAGCAACACTATCATGTACAGTATGCCCAACACAGCAACACTATCACATATAATGACGTATTCCCAACACTATCAACATAGTTGGAACACTCATCGAACCTTTATTTTTTTTGGAACACACATCGAACCTTTTTTTATTATTATTACCTCCGCCAGGAGGTTATGTAATCATCTGGGTTTGTATGTGTGTGTGTATGTGTGTGTGTATGTGTGTGTGTGTGTTTGTCTGTGAGCACGATAACTCAAGAAATACCAAACATATCCGTACGAAATTTTTTGAGTGCATTTCCCATCGGCTAAGGAAGAACTGATTAAAATTTGGTTGAATTTGGTTAAAAATTGAATGAGAAATAACAAAAGTTTTTCTTGCTTTTCCCGGTCAATTAAATAAAACTTATACTGAATGCGTAATTAGGACGTGCATAATATATGCACCAGCCATTCAAATTCTAATAACAATAGATTACTTCAATATTTTGCGCGTAGGCGGAGGTATGCAGTCTCTGAGTGCCCTCTAGTTATTATTATTATTATTATAGGCTTTATTTAACGAGGCTAACACTTTACAGTTAGTAGTAAATTAACACTGATGACTTCGTGGCCCTCACTATATACTAAGTTGAAAAATTTAGAATGTAAAAAAAAATATACTATATACAAATGTAGTTAAAAGATTTTTAAAATAGTTACATGCAGACTCATGATCATGGTGGCTTTCTGTTTATCTAAATATGACTTATATAAATTGTACTTAAAACTAGCATGCACAGAGGTCTTTTTTCTAATGTCCATATCAATGCTATTCCACTCAATAGAGGATCTAGCCGTAAAAGTACGACCACCTTCAGTTTTTCTGGTAAATCTAGGACACACCAAGTTCGTATTTGAGTATCGGGTTTCTCTTTGATGAATATCCGAATTCCGTAATAAAAGTCTATCAATATAATTGGGTGTATTTACACTCGTATTTACGCGCTTGTAAACTAATGTATTCCGTTTAATTTGTGACTGCCTAGTAAATGGCAGCCAGTTCAAGGTACTAAATAAAGTTATTGACGGCGTAGTCCTATCGGCGTCAAGAATGATTCGTGCTGCCCTTTTCTGAAGCTTTAGAATTCTTTGAACACAATCGCCGGAACAATTGTCCCATATCATACTCCCATACATCATAGTAGGTTTAATAATTCCGTTGTAATACGTTTCCCTTCGTCGTTTTTTCAGGTATGGGCTTATATGCTTTATTTTGTTAATGAGCTCAAAATCTCCCCTGTAACAATGCGTGACTGCCAACTCTCATCCTCGTTTGACCATGCAAGGGCTTAAAAAAACTACTCAACCACACCTAGTCAACCATGTTTCAATTTTCAACTATAAGCCTGGCTGTGATACAAATTAAAGCTTCTTTTTCGGTCATTGCAAGGATTAATTTGTATTCCGGGAAGGAGAACTTGAATCCCTGTTCGTGAACATATATACTTTCTTATCATTTTCAAGGCGGACGTTATAAAAACAGTCACCATTCCGTTGATGAAAAGATTTTTGCTGGACGATGAAGGATTAGACTTGAAGGTAAAGAAAACCATCTTAAGCATAATCTGGGTCAAGGTTGTTTGAAATCGTATTTCTTAAGTACTTAGTCAGTCCCTGTATTCTGTTCTTTTATACAGTAGTTAATATTGTTCACAGTAATAATAAAAACATTTATTTAAACATAATAATATAATTACAGCATGGTTGATGTGGTCGTGTGACTAATACTATACCATATATACTAATTAACTACTGTATACTGTAACAAATAATAAATTGTGGCTAATTCGACTAATTAAATTAATATTTTAATAGCAATAATAAAAATTATTGTTCTTAATATGTATTTTAAGATTGTTAAAAGAGGAGCAGCGCCAAATGGAGGTGGGGAAGTGGTATTTTCGTGTCCTGTCCGACGAACGTTAAGACCTCTACAGTTTACAGAACCTGGGAAAATAAAAAGAATACGAGGATTGGCGTATCCTTTGATAAATTTTATGCTATGATTTTTTCCCAACTACAGTAGTTAGGCCGGTTATACAAACGAGCACGTTTTCCATGCCTATGGCAAGTTTTGATTCGCATGTTTTATTTGACCATGATGTGTACAGAAAAACTTGTCAAGTATTGCTATGAAATCTTCACCTTGAAACAAGTTCACTTGTCATGACTCATAGTAAAACTGTCGTCTGTTCACGTAACATTTAGTACCATTAGTTTCTGCGGTCGTTGTCGTTTGCGGACAGAATGAACCTGAATTGGTAATATCTCTTCCCAAATTAGGAAGATCAAGTGCAGTATTGTGGAACATCCAGGCCGAGTCCTGTATAGAGATCAAAATAACAATGATCCGATATTTCCAGTGAATTACCATGCATAATTCTTTATATAGGGAATTTTTTTGAAGTAGCGTGCTCCGTCGCCCAGTGGCCAGCGCAACTATTAAACGCACATAGTAGATATGACAGTATACTGCCAGTGCATGATAGCCTATAGTCATGGTTATAAATGTGAAGCTATTATATATATTGTATTCCATGACGAACTACTCAGATATTCCGTGAGAGTTTCACCTGCGATGGTCAACAGAATCGTTGATGCTGCTAGGGAAATGTTAAACAAATGTGTATCAGACATTTATATTTATACGGATCACTGCAAAGGCAGCCAAGCTGGAAGGTAATTTTGACCACTATATTGCGAATAACATGACGTAATGCGTGAGGGAGCGCAGTGTTTTTTTGAAGAAAGAAATTAAACGCTTTTAGTTTTTATATTCTTCATTCCTTGTCCTGTCCTTAAATCCCGCTGATTGAACTTATCTCTGATCAAGGTAATTGTTTCTTCTCTTTATGAATGACGAAAAACAAGAAATTTTATTCGATCTAGTAAACTGAAATTTGACGTCAAAGCGTTGAAAATCTAAACCGTGTGAATAAGTGCCTTTTACTACTGCTTGCGAGCAGGTTACTATACTGTATTGGCCGAGTAACTACATGAAGTTCTTACTCCATATGTATATAGAGAGCTTACTGAGTTGACCCAACTTTGAACTGAGTTTGAAGTTATATTTCGAAGTTATATTTCGAAGTTACATAGTAGCTAAATATATACTGAGCATAATCTTGAACCGTTTTGTGCCAGTGCACGTAAGGGATATACAACTACTTGAAAAATGTTAAGGAGAATTTCAAATTATGTAGTTGGCATCCCTACCAACGAAAGCTTGTTCACATACTGAGCATGCATGACATGCATACACTGTATGTGAATATACGACGTTAGAAAATACAGTCCTTATGTGAATATAATAGTAGAGAACTACTGTATTACATATTCTTATACTGATTAATATTACCCTACCCCAGTAATCATTCGTGAATGATGGATCCACCGTTAACAACACGCCGTCAAATGCTATGGTGAGCTGTCAATAAAGTGCCTGAAATTTTTATGTACAATTACAAACAAATTTGAACGGATTTTTTGAACAGGTCTTCGGGGTTTGGTTTGTCTCTTGTGGCTGAATCAACTAAAGGTGTTTTATTGAGCGCTGAAAATTCGTCGAGGTCAGCTGATGAAGGAAATGTCATTTCACCGGAAGATCTTGGAAGGCAAACAGCAGTGTCGCTTCTTGAGGAAATTTACAGGGTAAGATTGTTAAACAGTTAATAAACATTTCATTTGCGGTATGATCGAAGTCAAACTCCTTTATGGTAAGTTAAATGGCAAATAATTAACATTACAGTAAATAATATTCGGTGTTTTATAATGTCCAATAAAAAGGTCTTTGGTCAAACAGAAGAGGGTCCTGAAGGGGTAAAATGGGAATTGGGATTTGCTTATTTTTGGGTGGGAAAATGGAATTTCATGCACTGGGACTGGGATTCATCAGCATAAAGACAATAGAAAATGGGAATGGGATTAAGATTTGAGCAGGACGGCCACTGAGATGATGGGATTTGTGCTCTGGGACAATGGGATTTTGTCAAAGTTTGGGCTGGGAAATGGGAATACGACCCCCCCCCTTCAGGACCCTCACAGAAGGGCGTTGTCTCGTGTAAGCAAACTTGTGCTCAGGGCAGAGTTGTTAACGAGTCCTATGTTGCAAGTCCAAGTCAAGTCACAAGTCATTTCCTGCAAGTCCAAGTCAAGTCGCAAGTCATTTGGTCTGAGTTCAAGTCAAGTCACAAGTCATTTTGTCTAAATACAAGTCAAGTCACAAGTCATTCCGAGTGGCAAGTCAATTCAAGTCAAGTCACAAGTCATTTTATCGTCACATGTGGCCATGTTTTCCCACGCAAAACGGCTAAATATGTAAATATGGCGTCGTTATTTTATGTCAGAAATTTTACACGAAATCGCGAGAAAAACCCCGCTTTGTCAGAAAATACGCCGGCACAAATTCTGTCGATGCCATTGATATGTACTAAGGTCGTTGCCCAAAATGTACAACACGACGATCGATCGATCAACACAAAGATTTTGGAAAACTTGATTTTCACAAAATTTTCACTAGATATTTACGTTTGACTTGCGTTGGTAACAAGTCATTTCTTGCAAGTCCAAGTCAAGTCACAAGTCATTTTGTCCAAGTCCAAGTCAAGTCACAAGTCATCAGTCTCTTTAACAAGTCAAGTCACAAGTCACAAAAATTGCGACTCGAGTCCGACTCGAGTCCAAGTCACTCGAGTCTACAACTCTGGCTCAGGGACGCCGGAAATTGGGGGACAGGAGGGGCAGCCGCCCCTGTTGCCCTTTACCAGGAGGGGCAAGGAGGGTTAAAGGATTGCCTTGGCGAAATAGCGAATTGTCAGAAATGTTAGTGCAATTCTTTTACGAATTTGCTTCAGAAAACGCAAGAAATGCAGTCATCGAGCTTCAAGAATAGCACAATCGCCTGGCGGAGAACCCCCTCACACAATAAATAGAAAACATGATTAGGCGAAGTTCAACTCCCGATGTTTTGCAAACATCTCTTAGTATATATCAATTCAAAAGTGCCCTTTCACGAAAATCTCCCCCCCCCCTTGCTTTCACATCGTTCCGGCGTCCCTGCTTGTGCTCATTAGCTTTTGTGGTTGAATTTTACATTAAATTGAAGCTTATATTACGTATAATAACATACCTAACATATATACAGTATGTTTGGGAAATTGATAATTTTGTAATTAAAAGTGATATTTCGAGGGGATTTTTCAATTATAAAAATATTCTTCATTAAATTATCGTGTTACCATGACAACTATTTTAAATACTTCATGTTCGGAAAAAATGGTTTTGTCAGTGAGGCGATGGTTTCTGCATACATGAATTTTCTAGTAATTCATTGATCTACGCCAAAAGTTACAACTGGCATTGTCTCAGAATTTGGAAGTTTATATTTAAACTGTATATTAGTTGAATTTATATTCAGATGAGGAACTCGTCAAAGAAAACCCGTATAAATATTAAATTAGTTAACTTAGGAGACACTCGGACAGAAATCCGTCTTAATTTTTAGATGCCTGGGTGCTCTGTTTTGCTTTTCCCAGAGGCATTTTGTTTACCACGTAATTCTAGTTCCAGTCTTTACCGTGTTACCCTGGTTCATTTTCTTCACTTTCATATTTACCAGTCTTAATGCGAATTTAAGCAATTTTTGGTTTTCCCTCTGAATCACATGTTTTAGACAGCATGCATGCGTGTCATAATATGTCCTTTCAAGAAGTAGCACTTTAAACAAATTTTGCATATATTATAAAATCTTGAATATATAAAAAGAGGAAAATAAGCATCAGTTACAACCACTTTACTAATAACAGATTTTTTGCACATCGTTTGGACAAAATGATGTGCAAATTGCACATTGTTAATTCGAACCCATGCATCATGCGTACAGTGTATACGCCCGTGCGTAAAAGTTTTAATCTTTCAAAATTTTGTATAAACACTAATTACCTCAAAAATACACTTTATTCTTTAAACCATACACTAAACTAAATGCTATCCTTTTATTCATTTAATTATTTCATAAGAAACTTTTAAATTGATTTAAACTGCAGTGTATACTACTATACGCATGTATGAAAAGCACTAACTACAGGAAAGCAGAAAAGTGCCAAAGACGAGTTTCCACTCATTCGAGTCTCTCGTCCAACCGTCTGACATTCCATCTGTTTGGACGGGAAACTGAAATGTTATCGGATTTATATTAGACGAATGGTATTGGTCAAGAAAAATCTCGTCTGGCCCAGCACACTGAAGGCCCGTTACACTACACTCAATTTTTTATACGAAATTTATCCGTGCTCAAACTATTTTATCCAGTACTAAATTTGTAAGATTACTTCAATCTGTGCCGTATATACAAGTGCCTGAACCAGCATTTTCTGCACTACGGGCATATATGTATCTGTTGTTATTAACTGTCTGTATTCTTGTTTTTACCGTCCGTAGAATAATATGCATTGCCGATTATGCCCTTGCTTAGAAATAGAAATTTCAATTTCTATTTAGGGTGGTTGCGTGGATTCGAGACATCAATGTTTACCTCTGCTCTTCATGGTTCTTGGTCAACGTGACGTTTCTAAACTTTTAACTGGACCTTTGTCTCCTTATACGTAAGACGTTGAACTTTGTTATTATCGACATATTGCAATAGGCCTGGGGATGGTTGTACGAAGGCCGGATAGTGATTTTTTTCAAGCTTTCTTATATCAGTCGTTGCCATTTGTATAACTCGTATTAAAGTTTAGTTTTTATAAGTTAAATGTTTTTTATACTTCTTGTGTCGTCTATATCCGTATAGTTTCACAGTTTTGAAGCATTTTTGCAAAGGTTGAGAAAATCACTATCCGGTGGATAGCGCTATCCGGCCTTCGTACAACCGGCCCCTGTAATATAGAGGTGCGATAAATGCGATCAAAGCATTGTGCATGTCATGATGATAGTTTCCCATATTAAGCTTCCCTTGGGTGACATCCTGTGCATGAAAAGTAACAACAGTCTTTAGTTTGCAAAACGTAAGTGAAAGAAAAACGATAACGACCTAAAGATCTGGGCTTACAGATCGAAAGTGTAGCAAAACGTCTACTAATACAAGTAGCTGAAAAAATATGATAATTTCATTTGAATTTTTGTTTTTTATTTCCAGGATCCAATTTTTACGACATCTTCATGATTTCTTTGGTGTAGTTTTTAAAGTACAAAGTTTATCAAAAGATGAAAGCGATGAGAGTATGACAGGATGTGATACACACATATTATTATCTTGTATTGGCGTAGGATATAGTAATGTTAGCAAATCTATTACGTAAACTATGGTGTGAATATTATTACAAAGATATTTATAATAAATTATTGTACACGCTGTTATGGGTTTAATGTAAGCCTAACCCCATTACGACGGGGAACCAGGCATGAATTGATCAGAATTATCAAAAAAATATGCATTGTGGTGGCATTAGGACATAAACATACATACGCTGATATATTGACTGAAGGGTTTCCAGTGGAAATTTGTAGGTAAATTGCTGTTGGGTTGCTAGGTTTACTAACAACCACCTGGTTGCAACATTGCCACTGAAGACATGGAGTATTGTAAGTTTCCAAAACAAGGATCACATGTTGCATTGATATCATGATTCATTATGGTGGATATTACCAGCCTGTTATTGGAAGCTATCAACAATTGCCAAAGGAGGGAGAAATACTGAAATCTCTTCAAACAACCTGGTAGTTCTTGTTAAATTGCTAGCTAGTATAAGGAGGGGAGTTTAGGGAATGCTGGGGGAGGTGGGGAGACTTTAGGGGAGGTGCAGCAGTCTGGGCCCCACCCACCCTGGGATGTCAAGTTTTATTGTGTGCCCCTCTAAAGTCATGTATTTAAATGTATATACATGTTGTATTTACGAATTTTGACTGTATGGCTACAAAGTGTGTACTAAAATGGTGATTGACACATAGATGAATGAGTAGCACTTTCAATTTTATGGAAGAACTTTATTACACTTGAAGTGTAGACCTTGGCCACATGTAAAATTTAATAACAATCATTCAAGTTAACTGTTCAATTTGAGTCAAATTTTGACTCAATCAAGCCCAGCACCTAACCTGCAAACACAAGAAAAAATTCTCAGGGCAGGTGTGTATGCTGGCATATTTCTCTGCACCTCCGCTCAAAATCTGACAATGCATTTACGTATATAAAATATTCCATCCTCAAAGGTCTAAGTTTCTTAGAAAAGCCTGATCCCCTTGTACACAATTGTCATGGTGTGTCTGGGCATGCCAGATGCTGAGTCAATGAGTACATATTGTACATGTGATGGGAATGACGAAGAAAAATTGACCCAAATTTTGACCATCCCCAATCATGCACCATTTTTTTTCAATCCTCATTTGAGGGACTGGGTACAAGTCAGTGCCAGGAGAGGGTACAGTATACTCCTGGAATATACATCTTGACCAAAGAATAATTATTGCAGTCTTTGTATTCATTATGTTTTATTTTTTGTTCTTCTAATCAAGATTATTGGCAGCTTTTGCAATGTTTTAATTTGGTTCCATTACCTTTCTTATTTATCTTTCCTTCCAAATTTTGCCACAGGATGTCATTCGGGCCCCTTCTGTCATTATTTGCTTCCTTGACATCTTATGTCAGTCTTCAATGTTTATAAAATATAATTGTTGTTGTTTTATATTCTGTTTCATTATTTTTCATTATTTTATATTCATTCTTCCCTTAATCTGTCAGTCTGCCTTCTGCATATATTCTTTGTTCTTCCAATATATTCTTCATGATGTCAATGCTTGCTATCATTTTTAAATTATGTTTCAATATCTTTCTGTCTTTTAAAAATTCTATGTACCCCTTCTCTTAATCTGTCAGTCTTCACTTTTCTTTGCATTTTACTTCTTTGTTTTTCCAATATAGTCTGGTTAGTTCTTGCTTGTCATTTTTTTCAGCTTCATTACTAACCTTAAATTTCTTTTTTGTGTACATGCAGTATCCAAATTGTGCCATACATCAATGACATAACTCCTTCGGGCACTGCCTGGCAAATCCCAAGGGCCCTGAGCAAGGATGACAAAGAGTTGAAGTTTGGGCAATTGTTTATAATTAATGGTTCTAGGCGAAGACAGGATAAAGTTCTGGACATGATGACATCATCTTTGAATGACCATACATGCAGTGTTCTGTTTACTTGTTTATGAATGCCTAAACAGAAATACAGCCTACTGTACCTCAAGACCAGGGGGTGGTTTTTAGTTTAAGCCAGCTAGGTGCCCATTCATAGCCCAAAGTTAACTATGCCACTGCCATATTCCTTACGTTTAAATAATCTGCTAGTCTTTGCCTTTCTTCATATTTTTTCTGTCCTAAATATATCCTTGTCAGTTCTTGCTGACATTTTATTTCTGTTCCATATCTTTCTTTTTAGTCTTCCAAAATCTCTGCACATTCCTTGGATTTCCTTCCCTTTAATTTTTCTGCCATTCTTTGCATCCTTCACGTTTTACTTCGTTGTTCTTCCAATATTCTTGTTAGTTCTTGCTGTTGTTCTAATTCTGTTATATTATCTTGTTTTCTTTTCTGCCGCTCTAAATCCCTCCTTACACCTTCCCTTAGTCTCTTCCTGTCTGCATCTTGTGACATATGAACAACCAGGATTATACTCACAGCAAAGCCACCAGCAGCAAGCAGAACTACCTTGGATAAATTTGACATTACATACAATTTCTATCTGAAAACTCCAGTACTGTTACTACTGTAAAAAATATTTTTCTTGTCTTCTGATTGACTCCACTTCTTAAAAATGTGGTTTTTACCATAACCGGGGGGTTGGTACTACGTGTAATTTCATTTTCTTAAGCATATGACATCACTTTAGTGACTTAATACTTCAAATTACACTCATCAGTCATCACAAATATGAAATGATCACAAACATATGTATGTTTCATACTAATAGTGAAAATGTACTGACATTATGCTAAGCTTACGTAAAAAAATCCGTATATCAAATAAGTTTCCTACGAAATATTGGAATATTTCCTTCGAAAAATTTCCTGAACCATAGCTTGATAGCTCAGTGTTCACTCCCCCCTGTCATCAACACGCTGCAGGAGCTGTTCTTTTGCGGTCTTTGATTGGTTGGTTAGAATCACATTAACCAATCAAAAACACAGTTAATAAAAAGACCAAAAAGAAGGAAGAAGAGGACATGTTGGATTTGGATTATTGTTACAAGGCGCGGTTTCAAAGCCGAAAAAATTATATCAGGTAAAGTTGTTTCGTAGTATTTAGATTGTTCTCATATTTCTGTTTATTTTTAATGCACTGTTGATACGATTTATACAGTAAAGATTGAAAATAAAGAGTTTTGGCTTATGGCTCTAGTGTGGCAACCAATGCAACCACGTTTTGTGCCTTTGTTTAAATTTAAATTTTTACTCGAGAGACCGAGACGAGAGTGGATCGAGTTTCTACATTTGACAGTTGTGAGGTTCCATGAACATGTATATTAAATAGTTGTACTAGACATTTAGCATTCTAATTTTAATAGTGGCTGTACTGAAAGGATTTTTTACTCGTAGTGAGCAGCAACTAAAACTAGGTGGCCAATAATTTAAAAGTGTTTTTTTGTTTACTGCGGAGTGCAAATGGGCTATTCCATTTAATATCCGTACACCCCCTGTCGAGGATACATGTTTTTCATTGTTATACCCCTGAAGAATTCCAAGCTCAAAACCTTTTACCCCTGAAGAATTCCAAAATTCCAAGCTCAAAATCCTTTACCCCTGAAGAATTCCAAGCTCAAAACCATTTACCCCTGAAGAATTCCAAAATTCCAAGCTCAAAACCCTTTACCCCTGAAAAATTCCAAGCTCAAAACCCTTTACCCCTGAAGAATTCCAAGCTCAAAACCCTTTACCCCTGAAGAATTCCAAGCTCAAAATTCTTTACACCTGAAGAATTCCAAGCTCAAAACCTTTTACCCCTGAAGAATTCCAAGTTGAAAACCCTTCAGCCCTGA